GACATCCGGTCTCGTTCTGGTCCGGGGAGAACTGATCATCAGGGACCACCAGCCTAGCGGCGGCGGCGGCGGCGGCAGCAGTAGCATCTACTGTAACAAGTAGGAAGCGATGTCGATCGTAACGCTGAGAAAAATGATGGCAGAACAAGGAACATCCCGTAGGCTAAAAGGACCGATCTAGCTGAGATCACAACTTTTTCTCAGGAATAGAACATAACAAAATTAAAGAGAAAAAATCTTTTCACTCTCTGACTTGTAGGCTTTTTGCCATCCAGGTAGGTAAATGCCCGCGGGATCAACTGGAATTAGATACACACGATAAGGTTGGTCCAAGGGCCATCTTCTTCATGCCTAGATCAGGCCCTTCCGATGAACCGCTTTACAGACCTCGAGGCATTATAAGGATAAAGTCGAAACAACACGTTTGGTCCGATTCTTGATATAGGCACCTACACAACTAAAAAAGAAAACAAAAAGGCCAACAACTTCGCCGGGAGCTGGGACCCAACGCCGCCGGACGTCGAGACCCCGCCGGAACAGGAGACTTTGGGAACGGGAGAGCGGGTGGGCTATTTTGAGGTATATGCTCATGCTCCCATGCTGCGGGCTTGCAAATAGTCCCCGTACGTACATACGCCGACATGCACGATGCCAACCACATATTGTTCATCGAGAAGAGGGGAGGAGGGGAGGTAGCAAGGAGCCTGTAAGCAAGCCAAGAGGCTGCAATAGACAAAGAGGTCGCGCAGAAACCAACTCTCTTCGTTGACATCCCCTGCCTTGTTGGTATATTTGCAGCTCGTAATCATTGGCTGAGGAAGCCTTGCCGTGGTTTGTTTCCTCACACTCACTCCAACATACTATGTCCCCTGCAGTATCATCAGTGCCAGAACATGGAATTCCGATGAAAGGAGGCTGGTCGAGGCCGGTCGAGGCCAGATGTCACGGTCAGAGAGTTTGACCACTCAGGATCCGGGGTTTGCTTTCGAGTCCGAGCGAGGTTGGTCGAAACATGGTTGGAGATGCAACTCAAGATTGAGTTCAGATGGGCATTGTCGGGGAGAGGGGCCGGGTCGGAGGAGAGTGGGGCAAGCCCAGCGCCGTAAAGCCATCAAAATGGCGAGAGTTTTACGGATGTGGCCTGCGGGTATCGCCCGCCTTGCTTTTCGATTGGCCTTCTCCTTCACTTAACTGATGCTGTTAAACGCCTCAGGTCTTCATGTTTACGCCCACGGCGCATCTGTGGCTACTAATGCCAGCCCAGGAGAGCCACGCCAATACCAGTGATGACGTTGGGTGAGAGTCCTAGCAGGATCCCCAAAGTCATTCTGGCAATGGCCAAGCGAGTATGCACAAAGACCGGGCGGGTCTGTTTTTGGAATTCCAGGAGGATTCGACATTTATCTGCAAGACTTCTTGGTGGCGGGGTAGACATGCCACAGAGTCCGAGCAGGAAGGGTTATGGTTGGTGGTGGTCCTGCAGTCGCTTCACCTTGCTGAGCTGGCCGAGCAACTTGATTCGTGCAACTACAGGTTGGCATTGTGCGGGGAGCAGCCTGTCAGAGAACAGAGCTGGAAGCCAGCAAACCAGGAATTTTGTTGACGCTGGCGTTGGTGTTGCTAGAGGTAGTGGTGGTGGTGGTGGTGGTGATTGCGGCGGCAGCAGTAGTGGCAGCACCAATGACCCAGCCCACATATCGAGAAAACACTACGTACGAAGGCTGCCGCATCTTCGATGCTGTTAACCGATTCGGCCTTCTTTCTGGATGTATCATGTCCAAACCCTAGTCCTGGGCGAAATCGTATGCTGCTGCTGATGCTGCTGCCACGAAGCGGCCCGAGGCTCGTCATCGTCATCGGATGTCTTTGGAAATTTTGCCCTGTCAAGGGAGTACCTTTGACAATGAACAAGGCATGGCGAGCTAGATTAAATCCAAACTCGAGAAGGGAAATACTTCTGAACTTTTGACTTTGGCCTGGGCGACTTTTGACGTTGACAGCAGATATAATAAGCATACGCGAGGCAAGCTTTGTCCTGCAACACATTGAACACAGTACCTATGGTGAGGCACTTGGCGATGGTGATTGGGGGAAAGCAAGCGTCATGTCTAAAGGATGCAGGATTGTGGGGTTGGTTAGGTGAGCCTGGCATTCGGGCCGGAGATTCATGTTGATTCATGAGAGTCTGGCGTTTGCAACTGGCCACTGGTGGGTGATAGAAAGTGACGGTCAAGATGATTTGCCGGAGAGAGCACTTTGCCCCGTTCCTTCTCGTCGCCCTCGTTCGCATGTGGAGGACATCCCGTGAAGCGCGAACCCGACTAGGAATGGGCTGCAGACGGTGAGTGGACAAGCGCATGAGGATTATTGAGGGAGGGCCCGGAAGGGGGGCTGGGGGGATGGGTGCCGGGACGTGGGATTTGGAGCGTTTTCATTCGTAGAGTGTAGCCTTTTAGCTTGATGCAGCTCTGTTTCAATTCGAGAACGATGGGGTCGACTTTGTGTCCCAGACGGCCTGTGTCTCGCGGCATCTCTCTTTGAAAGGATGTTGTTTTTCTGTTCGTCTTGTTCTCTCTGCGGCTGGGCCTGGCCGATGCTGTGCCTTGCATCCGCAAACCCGCAAACAGATGTTCCTGGAAGCTTTCTTGTTGTTCTGGTTTCGCCACACGCCAAATATTTGATTTGGAAATTGCAATCGGCGAGTTGGGTGTTTAGATGAGACTGACCCGAAGCACGACAAGGTGAGGGTGACCTGCCAACCGCCGTGTGTCTCTTACACACTTTGCTTGGAGGGTTGCTGGTGTAAGGTTATGCCAGTCAGTGTGTACTGTGTGCGAGAAGCCGTTTGTTGGTACCGTTACTGCAGAGCAAGGCCGTCGACGGGGAGACTGGCACCTGGGACACTCTCTCTCGTCTTCCGCCCACGTCGTCCATCCCATCTCATCCCATCAATCTCTGACCGTTATTTGGTCCGCTGTTCCATTCCTGCTTCGGTCTTGGCTGGGCGTAAGGTAACGTGGGATTGCTAGACGCAGTACTTGCGTTTGCGCGCGTGCTTGTGTGCGGCGGTGCGCCCGGAAACTGGGGGGATAGTCTTGTTCGTGTATGTAGGTCACGTTCTCTTTGCACTGCGCTCGGCGTTGAGGTGGGCAGAAAGCTCAGCAGAGGCAGCCAACAATGCCGCTACCACGACCACTGCCACTGCCACTGCCTCTGCCTCTTCGCCAGCGCGGGAGAGAAACACCACCAGCGCCAATGCCGTGCTCTCCACAACAGTACTCGGCGCAGTGGCCGTAGATTCGCAGGCCCCCTTCACACCATCGCCTTGCACGGCTTCGCTTTGCCCTGCTTCTTTGCCATCGCCGACGTCAAATCCCCGTCTGTTCCCACCCGGTCGACCCCGGGACCGGACCCAGATAATATTCATTAGTTCGGATTCTCCAGTCTCCATCCTCACTTCTCCAGGCCTCTCATTCGATCACCTGAGGCCCACGAGCCCGCCTTTTCTCTCACCTCACCGGTAATGCCTTGCTCGGGGACAGACCCTGGGAAAAAGCCGCAACATCAACAAAACATATCCGCTTCGTTGTAAACAAACCCAACCCAGCCAGCCAGCAAGAGATATAGCGAGAAGAAAATTCAACTCGACCGCGCTCCCTGGGGCAAGACACTCCGGAAGCAACCTTTGTAACGCTGAGCCGTCTGGGCCCGTCCTGAGAGCCCGCAACCTTAAAACCCGGCGGGCTAAAGGTTCCAAACGACGCCACACCACTGCTTCCGCTTTAGAAGGGTAACCCCTCCTTCTTCCATGTCAAAGTCTCGCGCTCCAGCTCGGTGCACTCGATCCTTCTCCGGGCGCATTTCTTGGTCTTCCCCACGTGCTCCATGCCAGTTGGGAAAGGAATGAGGCTGATTCAGGCGTAGCCAAGCGGGTTGCGGATGCTCGGCGCACTTTTTGGCGGTGGCCTGGGCTCGCTGTTTCCTGGTGCCGATGCGGACGGTCGGTGTTGGCCCTTGTACAACTTGCCTTGCTTGGGGTGTTTTGTCACTATTGTGTCTCGTTTCCCCATTCTCGTTTTCCCTCCCCTCATCTTGTTTCTCCGCTGGACCAGGTAGACCGTGTAGCTGTCGTCCACTGCTATTTGCAGCACTACGACGGCGACGACGTAGCAGCAGCAGGTGAAGAGGAGTGACGACAACGACGACAACGGCTAAGTCGACGGCAACGGCAACGACAGTCGTTCTTGGCCTACTCGCACTCGGCTTGAGCCGACGAGGTCTTGGCCTTGCAGTCGCTGAATCAGTTCTGCGTGGGCAGTGTCTGCTGAAAACGACAAGGTGAGGCAGGCCGAGACGACCGCCACACACTCTTCTCCATCGCTCATCCTATCCCGTCCCATCCCATCCCATCCGCCTGGGGACTCCGCCCATTCCGCTGCGTCAGCCTGTCGCTCCCACCTTTCATCTCGCCCATTAGATAACCCCCCCGGCGCCGCTCATCTCGCTCCCCCTCCCATCTGGGTCCAAGTCTCACCGTATGTTGGATGACATGACCGCCGCTTCTTCGTCTCGGTGGATTTAAATTTGCTCACAGTCACTACCAGACACATCGCGTCGTCTTTGGCATCGAACCATAGCAGCCGTTGTCGCCGCTGCCGTCGCCTTCTGTCGCCATTGCGTATCTCCATTGCCCGATCCATGCATCGCGTCCGGTGATCATAGTCGCTGTAAAGAGAGTCGTCTCTGAGAGACTGGGGTGCGGTCTGCGGCCCCGGCCTGCATGGTGAAGGACTCGTCCCGGTCTGGCAGTCTGGCCATCGCCATCACCAGTTGGTCGAGAGAAAAGCTTGGTCCGTCAAACAAGCTGCCGCCACCGCTATCGACGTCGGCCGCACCAGCACGCGACGCTGCCATCAGTAGAGCATAGGAAAGGACAGGGACCGAAGGTGGAAACGTGTGCATGAGGTGCAATTTGCCTGTAAACAACAAGATCAGCAACGATGACTTCGTACACGGATGTAGTGGGCGCTGCGGTGCCGGGCAAATTGTCCAAGTCGCGAAGCAAACCAGTGGTGAAGCCGATCCTGAAGAAACTGTCGCACTCGGAAAAGAATTCTTTGGATTTGGATCGTGGTTGGGATGAGCAGCAGACAATGTTTGGAAACTATGGGAGCAGTTTGGGTGGTGGCAGCCTGGGACGAGAGAGGGAAGGATCTTTTGGAGGAAGGGACGTCAGCTTCAGCATCTCGGCCACCGAACTTCACCACAGCGGCAGCATCAACAACGGAAGGAGCAAATTCTCCCACGCCCGGTCTACCAGCGGCACCTCCCACGTCAGTGTTGCTACAAGTGGCAGTGGCCAGCGAAACGGCAGCTTCGTCCACCCTTTCCAACAAACACCGCGTACCTCAACACCACCTCTATCCTACGCCAATTCTCTCGCCAGCATCGAACACGCCAACAGCAACAGCAATACAAACATTTCTGCCGGCATTCCTGCCCCCCGCGACTACTCCCCGACAATAACAGAAGACGACGACGATCTGCTCGATCAACACTATTTACACCATCGCAGCAATCACCACCCGCCATTACCCTCATCTTCTACAATCCCCATCACCAGCAACCCTTCCTCTTCTTCTTACCCCAGGCGACCCTCACTGGCAAGCCGCACTTCCTCTCTATCCGATATCAACAACCACACTGGTCCTCCGTCATTGCGCATAAACACCAGTCGTACAAATTCCAACACTACCTCATCACGACTAGTCCACGTATCTAGTCACTCGGATATCAACATATCAGCTGGCAGGCTTTCAGAATCAGCTGCCCCCAGTAGTACAGCACCTGTACTTTCACCTTTATCTTCAGCTTCGCCCTCAACCTCAGTCACTGCCATGTCGCCTCTTCGCACCTCCATTGACGGCTTCCGCCTTCGCTCTCGTTCTGAGCTTGACTCCAACTACCACCAGGAGCGTATCCGCCAGGAGCGCCGCCGTTGGGAGGAGAAGGAGCGTCAGAAGAGTGAGAAGAAAGACAAGAAGGACATGCGCGATCGAGAGCGTGCCGATTTCAAAGAGGCACAGCGCTATGAACGTGAACAGCACCAGATGATGAAGAGAGAGGCAAAGGAGGCCGCCCGAAAGCAGAGCTTCTCCCACAGCACCCGCAACAGCTCCAGCGACATTATCCGCCCTTCCATCAGTCGCAAGAAGACTCCCTCGGATGCCAAGAAGGCCACTGCCGACGCTGAGAAGCTGGCCATGGGTGCCCAGGGCGACGTTGGATTTGCCAGCCGCAACTACGCCAGCACCAACCAGGGTCAAGAGCCTGTTGCTGATGAGCTCATGTTTGAGGGTCCCCGTCGCTCCCAGACTGCCAAGCGCAAGACGCAGGGTGCCTGGACGAGCTTCGTTCTTTGGTTCCGGACTAGAATTCTGCGACTCCAGACCAACATGGCCAAGAAATAAAGGGCTGTTCAGAAGAAAGCACTCTCTCGGCCTGCGGCTGCCATCTTTTCCCCTTGTTCACCTCAGCGCTTATCTCGGGGCTCACCGCCCAGTCCGCATTCTCCCGCCACATCACACAACATGGTACACAACAACTCCGAGCATGAATGAGACAGATCCTTTCATCATGACAACGGGCGGGCAAGGCAGCCCTTGTCCTATTGCATTTTACCTTTCATCATATACCCCAAGCCCCAAAACAACCCATCAACACAACCGCTCTACCTCTTTTCACGACACCACCAGATGCCCTTGCAGAGGCCAGGGCCTCTTTGAACTTTTTTACGCTCTCAACAACACCCACGATTATGACCAGCATTCAGACGAATTTCCGGACATGGGCTGATGAGCAAGAAGAAAAAGAAAAAAGGATTTCACTTCCTTAGTTTTTTTTTTTACGGAACTCGGATTGGCATGGCGTTTGGGATTTTTTCAGTTCTTTGTATCTCACCATTTTCCCTCTCTCTTTCTCTCTCTCTGGTATGACACTCCTCAGGAAATATGGGAGAATCACTCGTTTGGCTGCCGTGGGAGACGGCATGGACATAGGGATTGAGAAGAAACCTTGGGCCCTCGTGGGCTTCTTGGAGGAAACTTCCGATGAAGGGGAACGGCGTCTTGGTTCCGAGCGAGCGAGCGAGTGAAATGGGCATCTGGCCAGAAAACAGCTTATTCCCACGGGAACAGCGCGGCCGTATGTAGAAGTACAGAGTCAAAAATGGGAATGGCTCCTTTCCTCGTCACTGTGTGCATTACGAACTGTGAAATTGAGTGAGAAATACTGTAGGAAATCTGCAATGAATCGTCATCAAGCCTAGTGGAATCAGACCGAACACCAATTGAGCTGGGGTGGAGAAAGACGCATGCACTTGCAGTCTTGCATGACAGCCCAGTCCATGCCTCGCCAATTCGGAAATGCATGTGATCTTTACTCTTTTTTCTGGAAACATTTCCCTCGACGGCAGTCTACGGATACTAGCTCGTAGCGGGATGGCGGGGTAAAGAAGAAGAAAAGAAAAAAAGGTGCCAAAACAAAATGGCTTGATGCTCCCTTCCCGAAGTTCCCCCTTAGCGCCCCCCGGGGGAAGTGGCGATCGTGCCATCGCGGGAATGTGCAAATCATGGGATCCTGGGGTAAAGATTCGAGCGGGACAAGATTGCGATGGCGCGGTTTCGATCATGTCATATCTTTACCTAGTTCGAGGCGTTTCTTGGACAGTCTATATGATGTGCCAATATATCTTTGAACAGGACCCTACATGCAGATTGAAAACGTAAGGTAACCACCAACTGGCTTTTCTTTTTTCCCAAGTGAGAAGAAAACGAAAAATGCTCCGCGGAAGTACCCGTTGTTGGGACTCGGAAGGCGCCAGCGATTTTTTTTCTTTTCTTTTTCTTTTCTTTTTCGCGCCTTCTTCAGGTCGCGTGTGCCTCGAGGTGTTGACCGACGGGAGATCGGCTTGTGTGTGGGGTTGGGAAGGTGGCCCCGACGCGACTGCGACGCCGCACGCACCGAGGTTGCCTTATCTCTCTCTGTCTTATCGATAAAGGGTTTCGGGAGCTGACCCCGTCAGATACCTAGCGATAAGGCGAGGAACCCCGTCCGCGGGTCCCCAGACCGCTCCTTTGCGTAAGGTACCTAGGTATCTCACACTGGCAGAAACAACATCGACAGAGAAGTAACCCCAAAAACTCGGGCAGTTCTAGCGCTCGCTTTGATTCTTCCAGGCCCTTGCGAGTTGAAGAAACTTGTCCGACTTTCAATGTCTACTCGCAGTGAATTCAGCTGGATGGGCATAAGCCTGGCTTACCTACCTTCCGTCTTACGTGATGCGCATTCGGATCCTGGCAGAGGGGTCTCTCTGGCTGGTCCAGCGAATAAGACAAGTCAATTGCGGCCTGCCCACACATTAACTGCGCGACCAATAGCAACACCGGGCCTCGACGGGAATGTCACCAAGCACGAGATAGGCCGTCCCCCTCTCTCCACCCACTCTTTGGCATCACAAATTGACTGGAGTTGCCGAGGCATATGAAGCTGCTCGTGACGTCTGCGAGTGTCAAACGTACTTACGTTTGCCCTTAACACTGGGCAGGGAAGGTCGGTCGACTGGCGATGCCTTGGCAAGTTAGCCCCAGGAACTCATAGGAAGATGGGGCTTTCAGCTGCTGGGAACCGCCATCAGAGAAGAGAGCTTGCGGCGTGCGCTGCACCGCGCTGATCCGAGCTCCCGCGCGGGTCCCGAAGCTTTCTGGTTCAATGTTTTGATTGATCCCTCCCCCATCAATCAGCAGCATCACCACCTTAGACATCTGAGGTAAGGTAAGACGAGCTAACGCAAGGGAGTCCTCCATACCTCCCCTCCTTACCTTAGTCCGACGTGATTACCGAGTAGAAGGGAAAGAAACATAGTAAGGTAGTCCGAGCAGAGTGCTTCCATTTGCTCCGCTTCGCTTATCCGTTTCGTTTCAACTTTTGCTCGCCCTCAACCTCCAAAATCGTCCGAGTGTCCGCTCCTAAGAAGCTACAGAGACCTTACTCTACTCCGTACGCACTACAGTCTCCAAGGCCAAAGCTCCCAGCCTTGATTCCCTCTTCGATTCTTCTTCAAGCAGCAACAACCCCCCTGAAACTCTAAATTCACTCAGCCGAGCTTGACCTTCCCCCAAAAGGGTCCCCTCAACGTCCCTTCTCAACGGCTTCTGATCCTGCTATCCAGGTCTTAAGCCTTTTCTTCGGTTTATTTTGGCTCTGCTTCAACTTTTTTTTCGGTTTCGTGTAGCTCCAACTCCTCTTCCTTCATCACACGTCGGCTGGTCCAAAAGACATCCATCCTTGACCAACTGCTTCGGGGTCCTTGCCAAACGCGGTCCACGACGTCAAGACACCAAATCAGCTCCAAAAATCGTGGAGTAATACTACAGTCAGACAAAATATACAATGGCCCCGAATCGTAAATATGCCAATTACCCCGGTGCCCGCGAGGCGCCGACGCAAGTAAAGACAGAGACCCAAAAGGAGGACCAGAACCCCGTCCTCCGCGGCTGGCCTCTTGTGGCGGGTGCAACAGCGTATGTATTGAGTCTCACTCATATGCTAACTCATGAGCTGATCCATTCTACATAGACTCGCCAATTCCGGCGTCATCCAGCGCTTCTTCTGGCGTAACGCCAAGTTCGGCTCCATCAGAGACCTTCCTGGCCTTGTCGATTACAGATACCGCTTTCAGGTCCGTCTTCTTCTTCTCAGCCTCTGCTCACCGCTGAGCTTCAAATGACACTCGCAATCTAACCTCCACGCCGCTAACACTCATTGCCAGCCCGATGTGCTCGTCCTCTCCGAGACAGGATCCCACCCGGAACCCCTCGCGCTCACCAAGGACCTGACAACCCCAGCACCACAAGACCAACCAGGCCGCTACCTCTCCAGCGCAGATTACCAAGCCCTCTATGCCTCAGGAGCCGTCACCCCGCTGGACGTGGTCCAGTCACTGCTGCCCCTGATCCGGCGCGCAGAAGGCCACCCCCCGCCGGAGACGGGACCCTACGCAAACGCCTGGGTGGCATCCCACGGCCGCGAGGACCTCGCCATCGACGCCGCCCGCGCCTCCACTGAGCGGTGGAAGCAAGGGAAGACCCTGGGGCCCCTGGACGGCGTCCCCATCGGTGTCAAGGATGATTGCGATGTCAAGGGCTACGTCAGCCACAATGGCATGCAGTACCGTCCTGACCTGCCGTGGTTCAAGGCCGCCGACAAGACGATATGGCCCGTCCAGCAGCTTGAGGCCGCCGGCGCCATCGTCTTGGGCAAAAATGCCATGCATGAGCTGGGAGGAGGTCCGTATTGCCGCTCCCTATCAAAACTTGAAAGAACAAAACTGACAAGAGGCCCTGCAGATACCAACGGTTGCAACGTGAGTAGAGGGAACCGTGTTTTAGGAGACGACGGAACCTTCGTAAACCCCTGATTCAATAACTGACTTTGTTACAACAGCCCCGTTGGGGAACCCCCACAAACTGGCACAACAAATCGTACTACCCCGGCGGTTCTTCCTCCGGAGCCGGCTCCGCCCTTGGCGCCGGCATAGTCCCCATCGCGATCGGTACCGACGCCGGCGGCTCCATCCGCATCCCGAGTTCCTTCAACTCTGTCTACGGCCTGAAACCCTCCCACCACCGCACAATGGCAATGAACTCGTCCGTCTGCGTAGTCGGCCCCCTCGCCGCCACCGTCGCCGACCTCACAATCGCCTACCGCCTCATGTCCCGCCCCAACCCAGACGACCCCATCCAAGGGCTCTACACCCCCTCCCCGGCACTCTCCCCCTCCGCCCCGAAACTCATTGGCATCGACGAGGCGTGGTGGTCCCGTGCAGACCCGTCCGTCGCCAAAATCTGCCGCCGCGCCGTAGACCACTTCAAATCCCAAGGCTACACCGTCGTCCCCATCAAGATCCCCTACCTCCGCGAGATCCAGCTCATGCACTCGGCCACCTGCGTGACCGAGATGCAGGACCTCGCCCGCCACCGCCACCCGGACCCGGAGCAGTGGCAGTCCATCATCAACCACGCGAATAAGATCACAATGTCCGTCGGTACGCAGACGCCCGCCGGCGACTACATGAAGTACGCCCAGCTCCGCGACCTGCTCATGAAGCACGTTGCCTGGCTCTACGAGCAGAACCCGGGCATGCTCATCGTCACGCCCACCACCCCTCTGCCCGGTTGGCCCCGCCAGCCCGGCGACGACGCGTACGGCGTGTCTGATGCCAACACCACCATTGCCAACATGAGCTACGTCTACGTCGCCAACGTGAGCGGGTGTCCCGCCGTCACGGCGCCCGTGGGCTACGTCGACCCCGTCCAGGGCGAGGGTAAGGTCCCCATCGGGCTCATGGCCATGGCGGAGTGGGGGTGCGAGGAGCAGCTTCTCGGCTGGGCGAAGGAGGCCGAGACGTACCTGATTGAGGAAGGGCGGCAGAGGCCCGAGGGGTGGGTGGACGTTGTCGAGGTTGCCAAGAACGGCGGCCTCGAGGCGAAGAAGAATATCTAAGAGGGCAAGCGAGGGGTATCCAAACCGGGGAAAGAGGCAGCATGTCGTTCACTCACTTTGAGGTTATCAGAAATCAATGTAATCGTATCTCGGTGCTTCTAGCCTGTGGAAATCTAATCATCACGATGAATCAAGCACATAACAAATATGGAGATTCTACATTTTCATCATCGTTGATATCATTTCTTTATCATACTCTTTTGGCAGGGAACATACGCCCTCCACACCTGATCCTCAATAATCGACACCTTATTTCATTAACTGACCACGCTTTATTTCATAAACTTGGACGCCAGGCCCATGATACCGCCCTGCTGCTGCCCTTGACTCTTGAAATACATCTTGAGCGCCATCTCGCCCGCCTGTTGGATAGCAGACTCCTTGCTCGTGCCGTCGGCGACCTTGCCCTGTGACTGGCGCTGGTCAAAGAGCTATTTGGAGAGTAAAAAAGCGTGTGTTAGTTACATTGCGCTTGTTCGACTCTTTCATGCCAATAGTACAAGGGGTTTGATCAGGGGGATTAGAGTAGAAGAGTAGACGGATATGTAGTTGTAGATGTAGTCGTAGACGAAAGTGTAGGTGTAGAAGGAGAAGAGGAACCACTCACTCGACTGGCCTCGGCCATGGCGAGACCGGCGAACCCGCCCTGGGACTGCTTCTGTCCGCCCGTCTGCCCGCTCGAGAACATCTTGAGCGCCTGCATCGCGGCCGCGGCGCCGAGGCCCTTGTCGTCTGCCTTTTCGTCGTCGTCGTCGTCGTCGTCGCCAAAGTATTTCTTGTGCTTGTTGACGGCCTCTGTTGGGTACTCAACATCAGTACTGGTATCATGGTGAGGATGACCTTTATTGCCCTCCCTCTCCCTCTTTCACTCCCATCTTTTACTCTCCCCTCTTCTCGACACCATGATACCATGAGGTAATCATGAGAAAGAGAGAGTTCGACGGTTGGAAAAGGGGATATGGGGTGGTGGCATCTGAAGAAAGACAAGAACCAACGCACCATCCTCATCAATATCCTCGTTCCTCAACTGTCCCTTCTTCTGCGTCAAGGCGCCGAGCACACTCGAAAACAGATCCGTGTCGCCGTGCGATCCCGCATGGCGCGAGGCCTCGTTGGCGGCGTGGCGGTAGTCGTCCTCGTCATCGTCGTCGGCGAAGGCTCCGGCGCCGGCGGGGTAGTTGCCTCCGTGGGACTCTGTTTTTAACGCGGGGTGATTAGCTTGGGCAAAGGTAGCTAGCTGTAGCTGCTCTTGAACTCTCTATAGTTATTCTCTCTAGCAATCAAGTAGACGCAGGTACTCAAATCAAACAAAGCAAGTTGACCACCCCCAAGTGCAAGGGGAATTCGGTCCGATTCGAAAACATGAGATGAAGGATTCTAGCAAGGAGAAGAGTACTTACTGTCGCCGCCGGGAAGGGGCTGGCCTAGATTTCCAGTATCACAATCAGTCCAAATCTTCTTTCTTCGTCTCTCTCACTTTTGGTGATATTCAGGGGCGGGGGCGGAGTTAAGATCCGGGACAGCGGGGTACCAAGGCATCCCAATAGAGGGGCAACAAAGCTTGTAAAGGGCCAGACGAGCGCACATACCGTAACCCTGCTGCTGCTGCTGCTTGGGCTTATCGTCGTCCTTGGCGAGGTACTCCTGTGCGGCGTTCATGAGCTTGTCCATTGTGAAGAAGCTTCGTTGTAGCTTGGTGGTAATGATGATGGTAATGATGCAATTGTGGGGGAAATGGAGCTTTTGCTGAATAGAGAGCGCTTAATCTTGCGAGAGAGAGAGGAAGTCAATGAGAAGGGAGAGAAGAGATGAAGATGGGAGGAAAGACGACGCGAACGAGGAACTAAAGAGCAAGTAAGGCAGCCCCGGGTATGATAGCTCTTTGTAAATAGGACCGGCGAGCCACGTCTCCGCATCACCAGGCGGGCGATCAACTGTCTCAGGAGCCCTGAGCTGGCCATGCATCATTGCATGCCCCCCCAAAAACAGAAGGAACGTCGAATCAGAATCGAATGGCATCCAATGAATCTGTGGCAGACGGTTGATTTAGTCGGATAGGCCTCCCGGTTCACAGCCACAATCGACAATCTGAGCAGCACAGGCGGTAGAATGGAACCACTAAGACCACATCCCGTAAGGTATGGAGCGAGCTAGCTGTACATGGGGAGGGGACCGCAAGGCCCCCGGGTCGTCCGCAAACTACTCATGTCGGTAGTGCAACTCAAATGACGCAGCTCGATGCTTGCACACGTCGGAGCAGTACAAAGTGCGCAGTCAGTCGTGAAGAACCGGGCCATATGATTTCGGGAGGTGAGGTGAGGTGTTTGGGCTCCATGGGCGGTGCCTTGGCACGCTTGGGTTGAGTGCTCCTCAGTTGGACCCTGAAGTAGCCCCTCACAAAGTACCCCTCCACAGCTGATCCGCCCCGACAGCGGGGTCCTTTCTGCGAGAGCCCCTTGATGATCAACAGAACCTAGCACCTTGGGTGCTTACCTTAGCTTTCTATGTCGCACCCACAGCAGCAAGCTCTGCACACCCTCGCGAGCAGTCACGCAGTGTAGTGGCTGCAGTCCATCTGCGAGGGGATGGCCTGAGTCGCCCTCTATGCAAGGACGAAGCCTGCCCAGCTGTGTGTATAGCCCCAGGGCAAACGACGTGTTTCAGGAACCCCCCGGGCTTACATGTGTCAACACCCAGACGATAGTAAGATCATGGGTGCGTGAACGAGGCGAATTCGGGTCTAGAACGGATGTAATACTCTGTGATCAACGCAGATCCCGAGTATGGCAGCCAGTTTCCGCCGTACGTCTGCCACGAGGAGCACGCTGGGGAGACTAGCTGTGGCTGAAGTAGCCTGTCTATACAAAACGCTCCGCTTCGGAACACCAGGCACGATGCGATGCCTGCCACCCGCCGATAGACAGGCTACAGCTCCTAGCTGGTGCCGGGGTCGAGCGTTGACCGCCGGCCGAACTGCGATAAACAGGACCGCACGTCCGGGTAGGTCCCGCCCGAGCCGCTACGGACATCAACTGTGTCTGACTCGCCTGACCGGATGATCACCCCGCGGGTTGAAGCATCATGGCTTGCAATAGATTCTGTTGTTGGAGACTGCTCTTGCCAAAACTACTCCCTTCCTCCTTCCCATGACCTAATCGTCTTCAGGTATCTCGATTGCTGTGAAATAATAAAGCTGGAAACATGGCAAACAGCTGCATGTCCGTCAAAGTTGATATCCTGCGCCGTGCCGTCTTCCAGACGCCAATTCCGGTGCATGTGGAATGACCACGCCCAGGGCAGCCCTCGTGGGCACTTGCCGACCAATGCGCCAGTGGTGACTCATTAAAACTTAACCTCCGCCATGCTCAACTTGCAGCGATCCTGAGTGATGAGCGCTGTTGTTACCATGTCGATTCTTCTTTTCCTTCTTGGCCCACCTAAGGCCACACGCGTTGCATAACGTTTTCGGTCCACTCGGGCCTTTACGCCATTCCGGAGAATCCAGGGTACCTGATCAGACCATCATCGTTAGCCATTGTGCTGCGTGCGTCTTGCCATACCAAGTGGACTGCAAGTCGCATCAAAGTCGGAGCTTACCACAGTCCGTGCAGACATATTCCTCCGAAGTCTTGAGCTTCTTCTTCTTGTCACCTGTCCGAGGGTCCCGGTCCTGTGGAATCGCAATGCCCGCGTCTCCCTTGATCAAGGTCGGACTTGCGTTTCCTGTCGTGATGCCGCGGCTCCTCTCGCCTTCGATGTATCTCAGTCCAGTCAACATCTCAATAGTATCAGTGTGTGAGTTCCCTTCATATCTGGCCATCTTGTCCTTCAGTGAATCCGGGCGGCTCCCCGCAACACCCTCCAGTGCCTCGCGTGTAAGCGCAACGTTGAGAGCCGACGACCTGTCGCCTCCGTCACCGGCCCGAGATATGGCGCTCGGGGCGGATGTCATTGTGGTTTCCGATGGTGTTACGTCCGACCTGCCTTCCTGGCTCTGGAGCCACTGCCTCTGTGATTCTTCATTCTCCATCTCTTCCTCCTTGCGCAGCTCGGCAATGCGCCTCCTCAAACGTTCGTTCTCAATCTTGTGTTCCAGGAATGAGTCCAGTAGGCCGGCATTTTTTGTTGGATACGGGCGCGACATCATGAAGACGGCTTGGCAAAACGGCGTTTGATTGTGCGGGTTCGGCGCAAACTTGGATGCGGCGATGTGGGCGTGACCGACCGACTCGAAAATGGCGTATTTACCGTCCTTCTTCTTCAGCCGGAAGAACAAGCGAAGCGGGTTTCCTGATGCTATAGACTCGTTTAGCTCGGCGACGTAGACGCCCTGGTCGTCGGGGTGGACGAGTTCCTTGAGGAATGTGTCGAGGATTTCGTCGGCAGTGTAACCCGTAAGATTCAGAATACTCGGGGAGACGAAACGTATGCGACCATTGGCGTCAAGTATCTGGAGGAAGTCTTTCAGCTCTTCGACGACCTTTGCGGGCCAGTTGCGTCTCTTTGTGAATTCGGTGAGGGTGCTGCCGGCCTGCTGCAAAGCCTGCGAATTGAAGCCGCTAGAGGGCATGGGGCCCCCACCAACTACGCTGGAGGCATCGTCGCCATTGTTGGAATAATTGTTATTCATGGAAGGGGTATCGTCGGGGAGGCCGTCGGGCATTGGTGTATTGCCGACAAAGTTGAAGGTAGACATGGCGTTCTCGTCGTTGGGGTTGTCGACGCTCATGGACATGGCGTCAAAGCTTCCATAGACTGTCGAGTCCAGGAGAGACGACATGATGTTGGGGTCGGCTTCAGCCATCTGCATTGCGTCAGCGCGTTGTTGAGAGCGGTCTGTAGCGAATGGTGGTTATGGGGGAGGGTTCTCAAAGCAATGCGCCGGGGGGTCAGGCGGGTCGTAGGTCGGAAAGGGTGACAGAGAGGGGAGGTAAGCGAGGCGGTCGAGGGGAGGAAAGTGAGTTATCAGATCAGAAGGAGGAGCATGGTTAGGAAAGCGGGCGGGACGAACAGCTTCAAAGGCGGAATAGGCATCTTGGGGCCCAAAGCCAAGAAAATTGGTTGGAGGCTGAGGTGGTCCGTGAGACATGGTTGCGGTACTGTTCCGATACTGGCCCTGACGGCTTCTAACAAAGGCATTGGCGATTTGAGGGGGCTGATTTGATACCGATGCGCGGGAAGTGTTCCCAGGGGGGCAGAATGCGGTCCCGTTCACCTCGCGGCCAATGTGCGGTGGTAGGTACTGTAGATCGGCTGGGTCTATTCGTAAGTACCGTCTCGTGCGTCTGCTGGCAACTCAAACTGCGATAAGATGGCTGGCTGCTTGCGTCTGTGGCTGGAGCGAGGACCAGGTTCAAACTGGGGCCAATGCCAGGTACAACGAGCAGCAGCTTACTGGGTGTACAACGACGATGAGCTGCGAAGGCGCGGGAGAGTGAGCTCGTTGGTCTAAGTCGCGGGGACCGTCGTATGGGTATGAGCAGATGCGGGGAGTAGGAACTGGTGATCCGGAGAGGCCTAGAACCCAAACAGATCAAGATAGAATGTAGGGCGCAAGCTGGTACGGGGCTTTGGGCATCGAGTAGTGGGCTTAGCCTTGCATGTCTATTTGGCCAGAACGTCTATTTTGTCTTTTTTGTCGAAAAGGGTGCCAAAGAATGGGAGTCGAAGACGACGTCAGAGTGCGTGCGGCGGATGCAACAGAGCGAGGGTATAGAGAAGAAAAAAAGTGGACGGCAACCAGATAAGGTGGACGGGGATGGTTGTGTTGGTGGTATGTTTCTCTGTGAAGTGTTTCCAAGCGACGGGGTCTCGTAGCAATTAATAAAAAGGGCCAGATGGGTTTGCTGCTGCGAATGAGTATCGGTACAGAGGCTGACTATGCCTGTCTGGTTCGGAGCGGTGCAAAAGGAAGCGAGGTTTCGGTAGCGGCAGCAGTACCTAGTAGTACACAAGGCCAGTTGTCGACGGAGCGAGCTGAGTGAGTGCGTGTACGAGTGAGTCGAGGTTGAAGATGGATGGCCAAATGAAGTGGGAGTGCAGCGGTGAGGTAAAAGTAGAGAGAGCCCGTGGCTACGGTCCTTGTCTTGGCTGCTGTGAGACGCTTTGCAAGGGCTGGATTGGGTTCCGTCAGGTTGGCACGCGGGTCATAAGGTGAAGTCGAGTCGAGGCGCCGCCTGGCCTGGCCAGCGATGCAGGGTCGTGAGGGAAGATCAGAAGCTGCGTCGGAACGGTGGGGGAGTGAAATGGGATGAGAGGGAATGGATGAGGAGACGACGTGAATGGGGGGAAAAGGTGAAAGGGAAAGAAAAAAAAAAAAAAGGTTGAGACGTGAAGGTGCGAAGCACACGAAAGTGTAGTGCAGGAAAGGAGAGAGAAAATAAGGTCAAGTCGTCACCATCCAAAAATTTGGCAGGGAAAGAATGGCTACCTCAAGCTGGGATGCAGAAGGTGCAGAGCTGCGAGTGCGCACATAAGGTACCCAGTTACTGAGCTCCGTAAAGTAAGGTAAGGTAAGGCAAGGTACGGATACGGATGGAGAAGAAAAAAAAAGGGAAGCGGAAGCGGTAGCAGTAAGTAAGGTTGGTCAGGTAAGGTAGCGGAAGCAGCAGGAGCAAGAAGCAATGGAAGAAGCAGGGACCTGATGTGAGGTGGGAAAAAAAGGATGGGAAACTGCAAAATGGAAACGGAGCACATGGCAATTCTGGCTATGGACCTTTTTTCCCACCTCAAGCAACCCGTCGTCGCTCACTGCACCGCTGGTCCGCTGCACCCCTCCACCGTCGCAGACGCAGGGAACGTACCTTACTGCGCAGTAAGTATCCGTACCTACCTCACGGAAGGTAGGTACATCATCGTACCCGACCCTGCCTTCCTTGCATTGGGTTGGGTCACTTGGCCATTCACATTGGGCGCCGGGCCTATGTTCACTGAGACGGAGGTACTTCGTAGTTCCCCTTCACCCAAGGACTTCCCTCCAACTTCCCCCCCTCTTCCCCTCCCCTCTGGCACATTACCTCACTCCATAGCCGTACGGAGTGTACACTACACTACCTTACCATATTACCCCCCCTCCCAATCCCAGACCTCCATCCTTTGAACCCCGCCGAAAACTCTCCATGTCCCTCCCATCCGATACCTACCTTACCTTAAGACACCTTAGGTAAGTTAGGTATCTCGTGGGAAGCCGCGCCTCACCTTGGCTGACCTTACTAGCTAAGGTAGCCAGACCGTAGTGTGAAGCAGCACATTGCAGGCATGAATAGGCATGGCATCATCTACCTTACCTTGGCTCACCTTGGAAACCATTCCTACCTGACTTTCCCTTATCTTGCCTTACTGTATGCCTTGGGCACCACAGGTCATGCGTCCGGCATGCACGGCCCATGCCCAGCAGCTCCATCAAAAGTAGTTTCCAAGGCTGATGCCCTGAGAATTTCAGCACAGCGATAATCCCCTCACAGCTCCAAGCCCATCCCGACGGGTCAAGCAACTGGGCAACTGGGATGGCGCTGCCCGGAGCAAATGCCCCGACCCAGAGCCATTTGTGAACCCGTCTTGCACTGCAATTTGAGCGGTCAAAGGCTTTCCCCGACCACACAGTGAGTGGGGCTGACTTGGAGTTGGACAGACACTACCTAACTAGGACTGGATGTCGTGGGCTCGTGGCTTGTTTGGTATCGAACCATAGAGTATCCGCTATCTGTCTCACGCCTCACATCTTGCACCTTACGCCTCGTGAGTGAACTGTGGCTTGCCCTTGACGGTTGTTTCTTGAGGAAAGCATCAGCTTAATTCAAGTGGTCCCGGATACACTATCCGTAGAGAAACGACAGCATGTCAGTAGTCGTCATTCGCCCTCCGTCCCGTTAACCAGACGAAAGTCAGGATTGCTGAGCACCAAAGTCAGGGCGTCACATCCGAAATGCTTGCCTAATACGCTCAACTTTCTGCTGGATTCTTTTTCAAAGGAATTCTTGTTGAGCGGGCATGCTGCGCTTACTCCAACTTGTTGCTTGTTCGATCGCTCTAGGCCTTGACTCGAGTAATGTTCCCTGCAATCCACCGGAGAGGGCTATGGATATGGCGTATCCGCATTGTGACATAACAAAACTCCATCTGATATTCGACGGAATCTGCTAAACTACCTTAGAACAAAACCCTGCTTGATAGTACCTATCCTTTCAATGCAGGGTACGCAGTGATGTAATGGAGCAACAGCATCAATTCTGCAAATGCCTCGGAAACATGCCGTTTCACAAGCAGTTGAAAGGTGAACCATTCCAGTATGCCTACTAAACCTACCTTTCCAAATGGACAATGCGGGCATTTATGGCTAATGAAGATATCTTCTGACAAAGGAATAAGCCCAAGTTGTCTCAATGACGTTGTGTATGCACCGTCTCTACCTGGCACCTAGGTTGGAGCTCTCCCAAAGTAGTCCGATCTCAATTAGCGCCCCAGCCGAGGAAGTAGCTTCTACTGTATGAAGACTCTCAGAAACCACCCCCACTTCGAGTTGCTCTACCTACCAGGGCGCGCACACACACACACAAGTGATGGAATATCTAAAAGATGGTTTTCATCTCAACTTTGGCTTTGCTGTGTTTAGTATTCCCGTGATATTCGGGGCTTTTCCAGGTATCAAAATCACTGTACCTATATCGAACCTCGCATATCATGGGGTAAGGCATCTAAGAAGAGCGATGGTGCTGAGGATCAGTCATCTACGGGACTCAGATACTGCGAGCTTCTGTAGTGTTTGTTGCTTGACTACCTTAAGTCAGCAGCGGCTTACATAAACAAGGAAGCGAGGTCACGCTTTTTCGCACCTCAATCTACGCGTGCCTGGCTGCCGGAAAAGCGCGTCCTCTTTTGGTGCACGTCCCCTACATCCTGCATCCCACCCAAGGCACCTACCTGCCTCTGTGCCGACCTCATTGGAGCCTAGACGGCGACGACGAGTGACCCTCAGGAGCAACCTACCCGCCGAGAAGACACAAAAAGGCCTGATTTTCTTGCGAGATTCTACTCTCGGTCCTAGATTTCCATGTCAACGTCTTCACAAATTGCGCCTCATTGATCAGCCCAATTCCACCTCATCGCATGGCATTGGTCCCAAGTCACCATGTCTAAGATCGACAAGCTATCCATCCAGGGCATCCGCTCTTTTGGTGGCAGCAGGGAGACGATCTCCTTCTACACTCCCTTGACCCTCATCGTCGGTTACAACGGCTCGGGTAAGACGACCATCATCGAATGTCTCAAGTATGCGACCACCGGTGAGCAACCTCCAAACAGCAAAGGCGGTGCTTTCGTTCATGACCCCAAGGTTTGTGCCTCATTTCCCCGTTGAATTCAGCTAAGGGCTAACATACTCTAGCTCTGCGGAGAGAAGGAAGTCCTGGCCCAAGTCAAGCTTGCTTTCACATCGACTAGCAGCCACAAATGCGTTGCGACACGAAGCCTTCAGTTAACCGTCAAGAAAACCACTCGATCACTCAAAACTCTCGAAGGATCTTTGGTGTACAACAACCATGGCGAGCGCACCGTCATTTCATCCAGGGTCGCCCAGATGGACGAGTTCATCCCAAGAGAATTGGGCGTTTCCAGAGCAATCCTCGACTACGTCATCTTCTGCCATCAGGACGAATCTCTCTGGCCCATGAGTGAGCCCTCGGCCCTGAAGAAACAGTTCGACCAGATCTTCGAAGCGATGCGATACACCAAAGCCATTGACAACCTAAAGGTTCTCAGAAAGAAGCAGGGCGAAGAGCTGGCCAAGCTCAAGATCTTTGAGGAACAAGACCG